GCTACCAGAGCTCCTAAATATTAACTGAAAAACCTTTACTTTGTATGTTTGAAAATTATTTATTCACAAACACAACGTTCTGCAGTCTTCACAAACCCAAGGCCATTTGATGTGTCTAAGATTCTGTGATTTCCCACGAACAGGGTATCAAGTTAGCGAACCAGATGCACTCTTTAGGTTAAAATGAGGAGAACCACCATAGTCTACGTTAGATAAATGCTGTAGTGGAATCTTTACAGGTTAGTGAACAAAAAGTGGTACGGGGGGAAGGGTACGGAAGTCCAATTCAAGTAAGTGAAGATGTCACATCTGTGAGGGATGTCTGAGTGCCCGCATCTATCCCTCTCCCCATGTGAGACCTCTTTCCTAGGAGTTTTGAGAAATACATACTACTATATCTCTTCTGAGATCAGATTCCTGTTTATTTGATCTACATTTTGATGATTTTGGTTAGATAATTTTCTTCTTCCTAGGACTGTCAAATCTTTCTCTTCTTCATATCCTTCCACATCCATGTCCTTTACTATGAAATTCCACCTTCCAGGCGTCTTTTTAAAGAGAGAATTCATAACTATCTTCAAAGTACACCATCTTCCTCCCACACTGAGTCATAAGGATTTCTCTTCTTAGCACTCAGACCACCTTGAATGTTGTGCTCCTATAGTAAACTGGTATCTCATTGTGCTTTTATCTGCTTTCTTGGCTTCTAGTCCCTTTTCTTCCACCGTAGAGGTTCTTTAAAGATTCTGATTTTCATTTTCTCGTTTGTTCTAGCATTTTAAATTTTCATTCATTCTAATGATACAATCTGTTTCGTAGAGAAGACTGTCAAATTGACATATCCTTTGAAAATGTCTAACATGAATTTTTTGTATATTTTTTACTCATGAGAAAACTTTCCTGTAAGTTCCCAATATCAGCAATGAAGTAGGATCATAATTTCAGCAAGAAAACTCCTATTAGCCTTGGAAAAAAAAAAAACAAAACAAAACCCAAACTCACTGCTGTCAAGTCAGATCTGACTCCTTAGTGAGCCCTCCTTGGGTTTCCAAAGCAGTATCTCTACAGAAGTAGATTGCCCAACATTCCTTCCAAGGAGTGGCTGGTGGGTTTGAACTGCCAGCCTTTGGTTGGCAGTCACATGTCTTAGGCACTATGCCACCGGAGGTCCCCATATTAGCTCAGGTTGTCTTTTAGTACTGTGCATATGAATTCCTAGCCTTTACAGCAGTTACCTTTAATGTTTCTTACCTGCAGGACTCTCTTCCTTAAAGATCCCTGCTCTTGCTGATGATTTTTTATTTATTTTTAAAAAATTTTTATTATGATTTGGGTGAAGTTTACAGAGCAAATTCATTTTATGTAGCAGTTCGTATACATTTTGTTTCGTGACATTGACTGAAATTCCCCCCAATGTAACAGTTCTCTTCCCACTTCCTCTCTGTAATTACCTCTTCCCTGTGTCCATCTTTCCCATGCATTCCTGTCCCCTGAGCTATCTCCCTGTGCAAATACTGCCCTTCTCTTCTCCCATGATTGATCGTTCTAAGGAGTGTAAATGTTTACCTTATATACCTATCTATTTGGCTGGAAGCCACGGTAATGGGTTCAGTTCCAGACTTGAAGGATAACTAGGGGCTATAGTCTTGGGGGTCTCACCTGGCTCTATCAGACCAGTAAACCTGGTCTTTTTTATGATTTTAAGTATTGTTCCATATTATTCTCCCACTCTATCCAGGATCTCTTGGACTGTTGCTGGTGATATTTAACACTAGTGAGTTTTTAAACTTCCTGCATTGTCAGTTCTATCATAAACCAGATCCTAACTCATGTCTACTGAAGTGATAACCCTGACTATAAGAATCAGCCCAAAGTTGTTTCCTATGAGGCCAAGGTCAGATATATCCCAACTTCTCTATTTGCACATTTTTTCTTCCTCGGCATAGTATTTTTCTAATAGGTTTGTTAATGCATTACGGTGGTCACAGAGACCTTCTGAAAACACCATATCTGCAATAACTGTGAACATAACAAAGATGTATGTAAGCAAGGATATAAACAAGGAAATGCATAGGACAAGGTCTATACGTGTTTTTTGCACAGAATCTCCACACCTCAAGGGTATCCACCCTCTCTGAAATAGATGGTCATTCTCATCAACCAGAACACCTTTCAATCAGGAATTGTTTTGCAGTGTCACTGAGTGGGCTCCTCTGCCAACTGCTGTTCTCAGCTGCTTTCCAGCTCTTCCTGGCTGGTTTCAGGATAGTACTCAGACAGTCCCAGTTCTTGTACACTCTTGGCTTGTAGGCCAACCATAACTCTAGAGTGGCTCCATGACAGCTCTTGGTGCAGAATCCCTTAGTTGCACTCCCTTTTCTTCAGGCAGTCTTTTGCTCATGGTGCCCCATCCACTAACCACAGCAGCTTCCAGACAAAATAGCTCTCAGCTCCTTCTCCTGGAGTGCTCATAGGAAGTGGAACCAGCTCTTAGCTGTGCTCATTGCCTGGCCTCACTGGACCTATTCTTTCCTTAGCAAGTGTTACTGCACTTCTGGCTCTGTTCACAAGTACCCAAAGTTACTCTACCAGCAAACTTCACACACTTAGGCAGTCAGCTCTCTATTGCAAATCCTCTCCGTCATTCGTCTGCTGCATGCGTCTTGTGCAATCTCCCACTATCTTTAGTATTACAGCCCTTTTAGGAGTTTCCCTTCCTTTTTCTCTCTCACTCTATGTACCTCTCTCTGAAAACCACTGTCTAGTCGGCTGCTTTTATAAGTAAGGTGCTCAATCCTATTGGGTGGTTTTTTGTAACTTATTTGCATAGTGGACTAACCACTCTCTTCTATGATTGTTGTTATTTTGCTGTCGAGTCGGTCCCGACTCATAGCAACCCCTCCTTGGGTTTCCGAGGCAGTATCACTACGGAAGTAGGATTGCCCAATCTTCCTTCCCAGGAGTGGCTGGTGGGTTTGAACCGTCAGCCTTCTGGTTAGCAGTCAACTGCCTTAGGATGATTGTAGCCTAGTGCAAAAAGAGCATGGGGGTGGTGTCTTTGCTCCTCTGACTCCACAAGGGGCAGAGAGAGAATCAAGATGAACATCAGCAGCCCCAGGCTGGTTTCTTTGAGGTGGAGGTCAGACATGTCACTACCTTCTAACCCTTTTGCCAGTTCTGATACCAGTCTTTCCTCCCGGTGCATGCTTTACTCCACTGCTGGATTTGATAATTTTTTGCAATGGGCACACAGAACTCACAGACAATACTTGTGATTATGGAGTTTATTAAGGAATTAACAGGTTACAATTCAGGATCAGAAATAACTCAGGATGCAGTTCTTCAATGAGGACAGCTTCTTCCCAGCTATGCCACACACATGCTTCTCCCTGGCCTTCACCTCTGCCCTGCTTGGGTTAATGTTACAAAGCTCTTTTACCTTTGGTGATCTCACTACCATCAAGACAGAAGAAGAACCAGGAGTGCAGTGTATCCTTGGACCCGAGATCCCTGAGCTGGACCTCCTTGGCAGAGAGATACAAGAGAGGTGGTAGCTGGAGAATCCGAAGACCAGCACGAGACACAGCCGAGACCAGAGAAGAACATGTCTGAATCATGGCTGAAGAAAAGCTGTCCTGAGCGAAGAACTCTATCCTGAGTTGTTTCACATCTTCAATTATAACCTGTTACTTTCCTAATAAGCCCCATAATTGTGAGTATTTGTGAATTCTATGTGTCCAGTGCAACAAATTATCAAACCCAGCAGAGAAATAGAGAGTGCTGTGGGAGGAACAGTTGGTGTTAGAATTCATAAAAACAGTCGAAAGGTGGTGGCGTGCCTGACCTATGCCTCATAGGAATCAGCCTTGGGCTGAGGCTGCTGCTGATTGTCTCTCCACTTTGTGAAGTTGGAGAAGGTCAGAGGATGCCTCCTCCATGCTCTTTTTGAACACAAGCCTCATCCAGTGAGGTAATGAATGTGCACAATTGATTGCATCAAGCCCCCTTCACCTCTTCAGGCTAATGACAGGTATATCTATGTAGCCCCCCACTCATTTACACGCTGTTATAAAAAAGAAAGGTACCTTGACTGCTGGAGAATTCCAAGGGCTATCTTTTAAGGAAGGAATGCTGGTAAGTAAGGAATGGTGTTAAGTACTCAGCTGGTATCTGAAATGTTGGTCGTTTGAACCCACTAGCTGCTCTATGAGAGAAAGATGTGGCCGTCTACTTTCATACAGACTGCAGCCTTAGAAATGCAATGGGGCAGTTCTGCTCTGTCCTGCAGGATCACTGAGCTGCAATCTACTCAATGGCAAAGGGGTTGGGTTATTTATTCATTTATTTTTGATCTTTCAAGGGACCAAAGATAAAAGTCAAATAGTATTCTTAATCCCACCCTAATTCTAATCTTTCTCTGACTTCATTATAAATATTACCACTGTATTCCCTTCAGTCCCTCAGTGACAAAACTCTATTAATGTTAGTATTCGAATAATTTCTTTCAGAAGGACAAGGCTGGTCCTTATGCCAAAAGGACTCGGGGGCTGAATCTTCTGACCTCCTCTGACCTCACAAGAGGAAGACAAAAATCACTATCAACAGCCCAAGGCTTATTCCTTAGAAGCCAAACATACTACCACCTTCCATCCTTTTTACTAACTCTGACACCAGCTGTCCTTCCCACAGCACTCACTACTTCTCTGCTGGCTTCTGTAATTCATTGCAGTGGCCACACAGAACTCACAGACAATATTCACAATTATGGGATTTATTAGGGAAGTAACAGGTTACAATTCAGGTTCAGGGACACACTCAGGAATACAGTTGTTCAGTCAGGGCAGTCTCCCCTCTGCTGTGCCCTCAGGATCGCCTCTCTGGCCCTTGGTCTCTTGGCCTGGCCTCTGCCCATCTCCAGCAAGTGTTACAAAGCTCTTTTAGCTCTGCTGATAGGTACACCTAGGGACACCACTCTGCCAGCAAATCTCCTGCCCAAGGGCACTCAGCTTTCTCACTCCATAGGCCAGAAAGCCTGCCATTCTGTCTCCTCCTTCTTGGTTCCATTGCTACCATATCTCTGCTGGACGTCTCTCTGCTGGGTATCTATGCTAAGGAGGTCCAGCACAGGGATCTCAGGTCCAAAGATGTGCTCCACTCCCACTCCAGCTCTTCTCTCTTGATGGCAGTGAGATCCCCTCTTCTGCCTCTAGGAGGGCTCATTTTAAGCCTGGCAGAGTGACAAAACTAACCAATCCCAGCGTCAAAGTTCTACATGCCTTACTTCCATGGCCCCACCCAGTAATCTGGTGGGAGGTGCAAAGACTATGGGCTAGAAAAGCCATTCACTTTTAGTAATTCACTGCACCACAATGATCTTCAGCATATTTTCCTTGCATGTGATATTAATGATATTATTTGATAATTTCCACATTCTGATGGATCACATTTCTTTGGATTGAGCACAAATAATGGCTCTCTTAAATTAGCTATCTTCCAAATTTTTTGGCATAGACAAATGAGTGCTTCTAGCGTTTCATTAATTTGTTGAAACATTTCAGTTGGTATTCCTTCAATTCCTGGAAACTTTTTTCTGCCAATGCCTTCAGTGCTGTTTGGACTTTTTCCTTCAGTACCATAGGTTTTTAATCATCTGTTACCTCCTGAAATGGCTGAATGTCAACCGTTTCCTTTTGGTACTGTCACTGTATGTATTCATTCCATCTTCTTTTGCTGCTTCCTGGGTCATTCAGTGTTTTGCCCATACAGTCCCTCAGCATTGCAACATGAGGCTTGAATTTTTATTCAGTTCTTCAGCTTGAGAAGCACCTAGTCTGTTCTTCCTTTTTTGTTTTCCAACTCTAGGTCTTAGTGCATTTCATTATTATACATTATTTTGTCTTTTTGTCATGCCCTTTGAGATCATCTGTTCAGTTCTTCATTATTTCTTCTGTTTACTTTAGTTATTGTACCTTCAAGAGCAACTTTCAGTGCCTCTTTTGACATCATTTTGATCTTTTTCTTTTGTCTTTTTAATGATCTTTTGCTTTCTTCATATATGATATTCTTGATGTCATCCCACAACTCGTCTCATTTTCTGTCATTAGTGTTCAAAGCATTAAATCTCTTCTTGAAATAGTCCCTATATTCAGGTGGTATATGGTCATGGTCATACTTTGGTTTTTCTGGGCTTGTTTTAATTTTCTTGGGCTTCATCTTGAAGTGGTATACAAGCTACTGAGGTCTGTTCAGCGGTCGGCCCCTGGCTCTGTTCTGACTGGTGATGCTGAGCTTTTCCATCCTCTTTCCACACATGTAGTTGATTTGATTCTTGTGTATTTCATCCAGTGGGCATCAGGTGTATAGTTGGTGTTTATATTGTTGAAAAAAGATGTCTGCAATGAATAAGTTATTAGTCTTGCAGAATTCTATCATGAGATCTCCAGCATTGTTGTATGACCAAGGCCATATTCTCCCAACGACTGCTGTTTCTTCTTTGTTTCCATTTTTCACATTCCAATCACCAGTAATTATCAATCCATCTCGACTGCATGTTTGATCTTTTTCAGATTCCTAAAGTTGGTAAAAATATTAAGTTTATTCATCTTTGCATTAGTGATTGGTGCATAAATTTGAATAATAGTCATATCAACTAGTCTTGCTTGCAGGTGTATACATATTATTCTGTCTCTAACAGTGTTGCATTTTAGGATAGGACTTAGGATTTTCTTTTCGACAATGAACATGACACCATTCTTCAATTTGTCATTGCTGCCATAGTAGACCATATGATGTGTGACTCCCAGTTTTCCTTGATACATATTTTGTACATTCCACGATCTGATGTTTATAGCTCCTTTCTCTCATTTTGAGTCATGCCACATCAGCAAATGAAGGATCTGAAAGGTTTACTCCATCTGTGCCATTAAGGTTGACTCTACATGGAGGAGGCAGCTCTTCCCTAGTCATATCTTCAGTGCCTTCCAATCTTAGGGGCTCATCTTGGGGCATCATGTCAAACAGTCTTCCACAGCTATCCATAAGGTTTTCACTGGACAGTATTGTTGAGTAGATTGCCAGGTCCTTCTTCCTAGTTTTTCTTAGTCTGGAAGCACCACTGAAACCTGTCCACTGTAGGTGACCCTGCTGAGATTTAAAATACTGGTAGCATAACTTCCATCACCATAGTAACAGAGGAGCCACCAGAGTATGACTGCAAAAAGGATGTGGGGGTGGCATCCTCTGACCTCATCTAACTTCATGAGAGGGAAAGAAAACTGACCATCAGCAGCCCAAGGCCAAGTCCTACAAGGAAGAAGTCAGCCACCCTCCAAACTTCTTTACTACTTCTGACACACCAAGCACCCCTCCCATGGCAGTCTCTATTTCTATGCTGGGTTAGATAATTCATTGCTACAGCCACACAGAACTCAGACAGTACTCATGATTATGGGGTTTGTTAGGGAAGCAACAGGTTACAGTTCAGATTCAAGAATGCTCAGTATACAATTCTTTGATCAGAGCAGCCTCCCTTCAGCCATGTCCATGGACACGCCTCTTTGGCCCTGCAACTCTTGGCCTAGCCTCTGCCTTGCTTGGACAACTGTTACAAAGCTCTTTTAGGTCAGTGGGTAGGTACACCCCACTCTGCCAGCAAGCCTCCTGCCCAAAGGCACTCAACTGTCTCACTCAGTGGGCTGGCAAACCTGCTTCTGTTTCTTGCTAGTCTCTCCGTTCAGCTGGCTCTGTTGCTGCCATCTCTCTGCCATGTTAGTGCAAGGATCTTGGGTCCAAGGATGGGTTCCACTCCTGGTTCTCTATCTTGATGATAGTGAGAACCCCCTTGCCATCTCTGGGATGGCTCCAAAAACTATAAATGTTCAGAATGTGACAAAGACTATCTCCATAAATCAAAACTCAGTGAACATCAGAAAACTCATATGGCAACATGTAGCCTTATTTTCATTATTAGCAAATTAGCCAGTCCCCTTGGGTAGGTTATAAGGACCTTTCATTTGCATAGTTCCACTCTGGTGGCATTGTGCCTAAGGAATCTGACTGCTAACCAGAAGGCTGGTGGTTTGAACCTACCAGCCACTCCTTGGAAGGAAGGTTGAGCAATCTACTTCCATAGCAGTACTGCCTCAGAAAGCCATTGAGGGGTCACTATGAGTCAGATCTGACTCGCTGGCAGTGAGTTTGGTTTTTTTTTTTTTGGTACCCAGTCATCTGGTGGGAGTCATGAAGACCACAGCTAGAAGAGCCATACCAAGTGATTCACTGTACCACGTTGACAAAAAGAGAGATGAGTAGTGAAAACTAGAATGTAGGCTCCAACAACAACAGGAATATGTTTGTATATCCCTAATACCTTTACTACATACATGTGAAAATTGTTTTCTCTCATGTGGAACATTGCATACTCTTCGCATACTCATTGTGCCTGGTCAATGGTTGTCTTTCAGTAAGGATTCATGGAGTGAACGAAACTATTCTTCCTCATTTGGGATCAGGAGGTTTTATAACCTCTTTGGTAAGCAGCTTACACTGACTTGCTTGTATTATATATTCTCTGTAAGTTCTGGAAGGCCTTATTTAAGGAACAGACCAGTCTGTATTCATTCATTGTATATTATCTAACCTTGCTTACACACCAACTGATTTTACTCTTTGGGTTGCTTATATTATTGTATTTTTATCAGTGTGCAAAGAACATTAGCCATGATGTTTTATTTGCACTTATAACAGAGGGTTAAAAGATCCACCTACCATCTGCAGTTTTTAAAATGGCTTCATCATAAATCAAGACAATGGAAGGATTCACTGTTCTCTTCTTTCCTAGAAATCCAGAAAATTGATGATCCTCTGGTTGGGCATTTGCAAAATGAAAGAAGTGTGGACAGAATGGAACAATGCTATAAGCATAGTACATTGGAAACTATTGTTCATCAGTCTCCAAATCATTTTCCTTTAAGGGAAAATCATCATATATTTGAGTTATGTGAAAAACTGTTGGAATCAAATTTAACTTTACCTGCAGTCAATGAGTGCAGAAGCAATGAAATCAAGAACTCTTCTGAGCCTAATGGAGATGGGGAAACCTTTCTCCACGCTGACCATGAACAGTTTTTTAATGAAATGAAATTTGCTGAGAGTAAAAAATCCAACAACACTAAGTCTCACCTCACTAAGAATCAGAAAACTAACAAAATAAAGAACCCATATGTATGTAGTGAATGCGGGAAAACATTTATCAAGAAGTCTTTCCTCACTGATCATCAGATCATACATACAGGAGAGAGACCCCACAGATGCAGTTTGTGTGGGGAAACATTCTTTACAACGTTCAAACTCATTGAACATCATCACACAACTCATAAAGGACAAAAACCGTATAAATGTTCAGAATGTGACAAAGCCTATCTCTATAAACCAAAGCTCAGTGAACATCAGAAAACTCATATGGCCAAGAAACCCCATATATGCTGTGAATGTGGAAAAGGCTTTATCCAGAAGACAGATCTCACTATCCATCAGCGAACTCATACTGGAGAGAAGCCATATGTATGTGGTGATTGTGGGAAAGGCTTCATAAGAAAGAATGATCTCACTATTCATCAACGAATTCACACTGGAGAGAAACCATATGTATGTGTTGAATGTGGAAAAGGCTTTATCCAGAAGACTGATCTCACTATTCATCAGCGAACTCATACTGGAGAAAAACCGTATGTATGTAGTGAATGTGGAAAATGCTTCAGCCAGAAGGGAAGTCTCATTATTCATCAACGAACCCATACAGGAGAGAAACCCTGTGTATGCAGTGAATGTGGGAAAGGCTTCATCCATAAGGGGAATCTCAAAATCCACCAGCGAACTCATACTGGAGAGAAGCCCTATGTGTGTGGTGTATGTGGGAAAGGCTTCATTCATAAAGGAGATCTCACTGTTCATCAGCGAACTCATACTGGAGAGAAGCCCTACATATGCAGTAAATGTGGGAAAGGCTTTATCCTTAAGGGAAATCTCATTGTTCATCAGCGAACCCATACTGGAGAGAAACCCTATATATGCAGTGAATGTGGGAAAGGCTTCAACCATAAAGGAAATCTCATTATTCATCAGCGAACTCATACTGGAGAAAAACCCTATTTATGCAATGAATTTGGGCAAGGCCTCAGTCAGGAGGCATGCCTCATCACATATCAGACATTTTACAAAGGAACGGTTTCTTTTTCATGTAATGAATGTGGAAAATCTTATTCCCAGAAGTCAAGTCTGAGTAGACATCGTAAAATTCACACAGGAGAGAAATCCTTTCAATGCAGTGAATGTGAGAAAGCCTGTGAAACGAAGCGAGAGCTCATTTTACATCAAAGATCTCATACAGAACAGACACTGTATGGCTGCGATGAATGTGGAAGAACTTTTTCCTATGTTTCTAACTTTAATTCACATAAAAGAAAACACAAAACAGGGAAACAAGTAGATTCAATCAAGCTGGAAGACCCTTCCACAACAGGTGACCGCTCATCCCATACCAGTGCTGTCACACAGGGGAAGGGCCCTGTTAATACAGGGACTGTGCAGATGCCTCCTGTGGTAACTCAGACATCAGTAAACATCAGTGGGCTCCTAACTAACAGAAACATAGTCTTGTGGGATAGCCTATTGTTAGATGTGGATCCTCTGGAGATAACAGAGGACTTGTGCAGCAAAGAAACCTTATGAATTTAGCAACTGTGGTAGTTCTCCACTGTCACATTGCACCTTCTTTTACATCCCCAGAAAACCCATAGGATGAACTCATACTTTCACGAGCAAAAATTTCTACCTCATTGTATGGCTACAAAATGTATCCTGAGGGAAAGCATATTAATTCAGACTGGGAAAGCCTGATACATTCGTTCTATGTAAGTATATACTTTGAGATATATTCTGTTGTTAACACACACACACATCAACTTTTCTATTGCACCAATTAAACAAAGTCTGAGTTAATCTCTGTAGAGAAAATAAATACTGTGAATTTGCAAAAGAGAAAATATCAGTATCTGTAATGTTGTAAATGAGAAACCACATAGATGGTTGCAGGGAAAAGGTTAATACTGAATTGGTGGGATATAGACCACATATGTATCATTTCAGTTTCCTCAGATCAGCGTGAGGGATTATCCCAAAACCACATTGTCTACCATAGATAACAGAACATTATATGCAAAGGGACCTTCCGTTGAGCCTGTTCTTTAGTTTAACCAACATTTCACACATATTTCTTTTACACCTGGCCCTGTTTCCAGGCTCTAAGTATACAGTGGTGAGTAAAAAAAGAAAAGCTCATGCCCTCTTGGAGAGCAAAGTGAGTTGAATCATAGTTAAGTGGGATCTTGACACTCCCATTAATCTAGTCAAAGCATGCAGTGTCTGCATTAGGTGAAATACACATGGGGTGATTGTTACAAAGGTCTTAGTTAGAAGTTTTAGGAGTTAAAAAATACTAAAAATATCTTACAACAATTTCTTGTCAAAATCTAGTTGTCATTGAGTTGTTTCCAACTCATGGTGACCCTGTGTGTGTGAGAGTAGAACTTTCCTTCCTAGGGTTATCAGTGGGTGATTGTTTATAAGTAGATTACCAAGCCTTTCTTCTGAGATCTCTCTGGGTAGATGGTATAAAAACAGCAAGGAGGCCACATGTTCTGACCTCCTCTAATCTCACGAGAGGAAGACAGGATTACCAGCAGTAACCCAAGGCCTATTACTGCAAGGCCAGACATGATACTTCCCTCCAGCCCTTTCACCAACCATTCC